CTCCTTTGTCCAAATAGGAAATGGGGAGAGGAGGGATTAAAACAAAATGGCAGACAGAGGGGCAGCAAAGGGGTATAAAAACATCCCCTCACCACCCCTGGTCCTTCAGAACTGGCTCAGCCCTTAGCACAGCCTGCCCCTTGCACTGCCTGGCAACTGGACTGGTACATGTGTGCGCACAGGTTACGCATACTACAGCAGACATGCCAGAAGAAGAGATTTTCCAAGATTCTGTGGCTCTAGTTGTGAGCTGCTGCACACCCGCAGCTTTCTACGCCCCTCCCACCCTCACCCCCACGGTGATTGAGCCATTCCTTGTCTACACAGTCTGCAAAACACTTGAGGATCCTGCTGGCTGAGAGTAGAACTGCAAATCCTTACACACAGAGAAGGCACTGTGAAGAAGATCCTCCGTTAGGGCAGATCACTCTTCCACAATGTCCTACAAAAGGGTCTGAAGAGGGTATTGTGGCAAAAAAGTTGAGGCCAATGTAGCAGATGCACAGAAACAGGACAGCCCAGGAAGGGACGGTGACTGTCCCTCTCTCTGTGGCACTAAGGAGCTCTCTCTAGGACACCACATTCACAGAACACAGCAGGCAGACTGGATGCATTTCAGAGAAATACAACAGAAATGATCTAAAGGTCAGGGGGGAGGTCATTTAAAAAAAGGGATGTAAAGTATATGCTATGGCTAAAAGTACAACCACACTGTGATAGAATAACCACCGGCAAACATTTAGTGCCTGGAAACAAGTTTGGAGAAGAGTTGTTTGAGTGCTCAGCTAGGAGAGATGGGATGACTTGAACAAAGGGAAAACATAGGCTTAGTCTAACCTCGCTTGTAAGCTGCTGAAAAGGGGACGGTGTCTTTGTTTGCTCTGCAAAGTGCCATGCCCAAAGAGGGCATTGCATACAAATGATAAATAATAGAACTTGACTGCAAACACCACTAGCTAATAGTGAAGTCTGTTAATCTGTGGAACAATCTCCCGCAAGGGAACAGTCTGCCAAGATGGGAGCCCTCACAGACATTTCAAAGCAGCCTGCATGAACCACTGGAGGACAACTATATGGCAAGGGGAAAACCTACACTGAGGCAAGTGGGAGACTGGAGAGTGCAAGAACACTTACCAGTGGCGGGCTTTGGCACTACAGTACTTGAGGTCCTTGTCTGGCTCCACCACCTGCCCGTTCCTCCAGCACTGGCCACAAACAAATTTCATTTGGAGGTCAAAACTGCTTGATGTTGGAGCCCGGGTGGCAGCCTGCAAAGGGAATCATATGAAGGAGGACAACTCCAGCAAATGGACCTAGACATCTTGTCCATGACAGTACTGTGTACAGGCACAGGGTTATGCATGCCAATGCCCTTGGAGAGATACGTTTCCCCATAGGCATTTGTATACTACAGCTACGGGTACAGTATACATCCAAGGCATACAGGCAGACTGAGCTCTTGTTTGGTAGGACCAGGCATTGGTCCATCAAACCACTGGTCAGTTTAGTCTGGTTTCCTACTTCCTGCCATATGATATATGGCCACTGATCCATCCAGCTGCCCTGCACTGACTTTCTTATCCTGGGCATTTAGCAGACACAGGCAACCTATCTCCAGGAGCAGCAGTTTGTTTTCAAGCAGTTTGCTCAACAGTAATATGGCTTATAGGGACATGTGGGCCTCCTCTGGCAGGCAGTAACAGGAAGCCACAGATCCAGGACACACTGCAGAGTACAATTGTGCCTCAGTAAGGGACCGCTGGGCCCCCCAGTTAGCAGATTTAGTTCTTCTGACTGAGGCAGATCTGGTGGCACATTTATTTCCACCAGCCCTGCTAAGTCTGCTGCATTATCCTGCCATGTGGTGTATTTCACAGCAGAACCATGAGCAGCAGGTTAGCTCAATTTGACAGGCCAGACTGACACACTAGAGGATGACAACATTCAGAGTCTCGAGGGGAACTTTTCATCGAAACCTAACAGCGTCTGGCTGCTATTCCAAAAACTTCAGGCGGGAACTAACCAAACATGCCTTCTGACGGGAGTACTGCAAACATTTTGCATGCTGAACTGTGACAATCAGGGTTCAGACATTCTAAGGGGAGAACAGGTTTAAATAGAAAAAACGAGCAGTTATACCATCTGATCTGTAGCATAATACATAGGGCTGTCAAGCGATTTAAAAAAATGAATCGCATGTGCTGTCCCTTTGAAATGCCACCGCAGCATTTCAAAGGGGCAGCACTGCGGAAACCCGGGATCAGCTAGAGTCCTCAGCTGACCCCAGGCTCAGTGCAGCTGCCCCTCTGAAATGCAGTGGTGGCATTTCAAAGGGGCAGCATTGCAGAAATGCCTGCGATTAATGAATTAAAAAAATTAACACGTTAACTGTGCTCTGCGTTAATTGCAGGTATTAATGCGCATTAACGGATAGCCCTAATAATACAATGCAAAATATATCAAGTTAAGATCTCTCATGAATGCTTGTCATGCTCTGAACCTGGTGCTCAACATGAGATATCGATACAGAATATGGTTATGAAACTAAGTATATAGAAAACTGTGCTCCGATTCTGTACTACTACTAACTACACCTCACAGTGGGGCAGGGAGAGGCACTACCCAAGTCAGGTGTTTTCACATGAAACCAGCCTCCATTTTTCAGCCCAGGAAAAGACAACGATGCCCCATTACAGTTTGCAGGAAGTATGGAGACAACCTGGCTATCAAGCCAAGAAAGAATTTCCCAACTCTGGCTAAGCAGAAATCATCTCGGACAGAGAGAAAAAGGAAAACGACTTTTACAAAACAGGCACGAGATAGAGGACTTGTCTACACATAAAAGGCTACAGCAGCAAGCTCTACCACTGCAGTGCTTCAGTGTAGACCCCACCTACGCAGATGGGAAGGGTTCTCCTGTCGACATAGGTAGCCAGCTCCCTGAGAGGCAGTAGCTAGGTTGACAGAACAACCTTTTCACCAACCTGGGCTTGCACAGCGCTCCTACAAGTTGTTTTTGGCATGCAGCCCAGTTGTGAAGCTGGGTGCATGATACGTCAGACTTTCTCCAGCCTGACCTGGTGAAATAAAGGCAAAAGCTAATGTCCCTCTTCCAAGTGCGCTAGCCCTGCCCTGCAGCACGTTGCTGACTCTGCTGAGCACTCACTGGTGCCAGAACTGTGGCGCGCAGCCATGCTTGCAAGTGGCTTTAATTGACGGCAGGAGAAACGCGCGCTCTCTCTCTTTTTAAAATGACATAAACAATGCTGTGCATGGCTATCAGGCAGGGGCGCTGCCCTGCTCCATACTCCTGACAAGGGACAGAGTGATAAGCAAGCACCCTCCAGCCACACAGACAGTGGATTCCACGACAAACATGGGGATGCAGGCCCTGCAGCTCTGTTACGTTGCCTAGCATCACAGAACTCAGCTCTGTGTTGGCGGGCAGCTTTCTGAGAACAAAGGGCCTGGAGAATGTGGGCCTGGTCCTCAATTCCTAGCGATTGTAGTGGGAGCTGAGGAGGCCCAGTCTCTCTCAGGACTGGCCCCTAGCTTCTCAGCTCTTCAGGGAAGGAACTGGCTTCTGTGGTCTCTATCCTCTCAAAGTATTGCTGCTCTGCCACCCAGACACCCTTACTTCTTGGGTGGGCCGCTCAACTCCGTGTGCTGCAGACGGAAGCAAAGATCCCCCCCTTTAACAAGGCCTTCTCCTGCCCCCCTCAGTGGGGCTTGTACACCAAGGCCTTGCTTGGAGACCTGAAGGGATTTTGCTCCTACATGTTTTGCACTTTGTCAGCTGCACTTTTGAAAAGCAATTAAAGAACTGAGAACTCTGTGTTCTAAAGCAAGAGCAACTTTAATCTGATCCCAGGGCGGGGCCAGGCTCAGCTAGCTACTCACTAACCACCAGCACCACCATTTAGAGTGTGCTGCAGTTAGGGCTGTGGCTGATTGACACCACCCAGGCCCTCCAGCTCTGGAGACGGCAAATATGGAGCATTGCCATCTGCTGAAACACTCCTCTCCCGGGTCAGTGCTGCTTGGAGACCCAGGGGGAGGAGTAGTATGACCAGGGGTCAGATAATGTCTTTCATCGTCTCTGCCCCTCCGGGTAGATTGGCATAACCAGCTTCAACAGCACCTCGGAGTTGCATGTCCCCCGGAGTTGTTCAGAAACAAGCCCCTCCCTACTCAAAGCTGTGTGTTCCCCCAAAAGACAGCACAAGCCATTTGAATCCGGCACTGGTGGGAAAGTTACTGCCACAGGATCTGGTTTGCATTGGTGGGACACCCTCCTTCTCTGCAGAAGTCACATGGTGGGAGGGGGGGGGGAGAAGAGGACACAGGGTCACAATCCCCCTCAGATTTCTCAGGCCACTTTGTGCTAGGATGCCTAGCAGCGAGAAGGCAGCAGCTCACCCTTGCAGCAGTGCTACCCATGTGTCCATGCAGCACGGGGAGGGAGGAACCTGTAGGGCAGCTGGCTGAGCTCCCCACACTCGCTACATGGGGCTTGCTACTTCCCTGCTGCTGAAGTCCCAGCACTTCCTGCTCTCTGCTTTGCAGGCCCGTCTGCTGAGGTGAGTCAGGGGCAACAGTCCCTCTCATTCTTTCCATCTAGGTGTGAAATGGGTTTTGTTCGGTGCAGATGTGCACCGTCATTAGACACATGCTGCTGGCTGGGGGCACTCTGCTCATCAGCTGGGTGGCCATCCAAGAGCAGAGCTCACAGGGAACACTGGTCGGGGCATCTTTGAGATCGGGAAGAGGAGCTGTGACTTGGTGCCCAGGACCAGGCAATTCAGGTGAGCCCCATCCAGAACGAGAGCCTGGATGAGTGAAGGGAGCACACTGGGGGGAGGAGGGGGAAGACAGACTCACTCTGCTGCTTCCAAGCACCAACAGCAGCAGCTTGCTGTTGCTGGGAGTGCATTGAAACAGTAGCAGCCTCCAATGTGACTATTAGGGAGAAGGAAATTTGGAGGTGTCATTCTCTCTCCAACAAAAAGCGGCTGATAAGTTTTCCAGCTTTGTTAACTGAGAGGAGCCGGTCCCGAGCGCCGTTTCACCCACCCCAGACTGTGCAACCCAACTCTGTTGTCCCTTGTCTTGTTTTGAGCACTTGCTAAGTTGGCTAAGGACAATTCAGGCAGGGAGGGATGCTTGCGAGTTCTGCAGGAGGCTGGCCAGCCACAGGGCAGAGAGCAGCAGGAAGAGGCAGCTGATATGTATGTAGACAACATACGCCAGCCACTTTCAGGCGATGGAGGCAAAAGCCACATGTGGTCACATGCCCCCACAGAACCTTTCAATTGTGCCCTCCCGCTACCTACACTGACATGTCCCTGCTGCTCCCCTGCAAAACAACAACAGGAGCAACAACCACTACCCCAGGCACCATCCTCTTTGCTCCACCCCCTCACACCGCAGTGGGGGAAAGCTGCCTTCACCAGGACTGAGAATGCTGGGAGTGATGTCTCAAGCTAGAGTGCAGTCCCTTCACCTCCATGGCCGTGCAAAGTGCCATGTGCCCGGGCATGTGGCCTCAGCAGGGCTTCACCTTTCCCTGCAAAGCACGTCAGGTCCTGCCCAGGCTACTGTCAAGAGCTCGCCCCACACTTCTCACTATGGCACACTGGGGGCAGAGGATCCCTAGCAGTGCCATATTTTATCTCTGATTGATGGGGAGCGGCAACAGTGCGGGAGGGAAGAGGGACAGGACTGGCCAGAACATGAGCAACAACAAACCAGTCCCAGGTCCCGACAGCTTCTTACCGTGCTGTTGGTGGCTTTGCTGGCATGTGCCTCCATCAGCTGCCAGTACTTTTTAGACTCCTGGACAATGTCTTCATGGGTCATCCCTGAAAACGACAAAGACACACAACTGATTATCCCCACGCTGCTGGCCCAGGCACACGAGTGTCAAAGGCACTGAGGAGGGGCGCCTCTGGGCCAAGACTCCCTTTTGAGTAATGCTGCACTTTTTTAGCCTGTAAAATCCAGGTGATGCAGGCACAAGGTGCTAGAGTCATATCCCCGGAGACATGAGCCTTTTACTCAACAGAACAAGTCCAGGACAGGTCAAGTTCAGATTTCCTTCACGCACACTTCCTTGCCCGCTTGAGCCAACACCCAAGAGGAGAGAGAATTCAGTCTCCATGACCA